GCCGTTTCCCCCCCCCCCCCCCTCCCCAGCCTGTTCCAATGCCTGATTACCCTCTCAGTGAAGAAATTTTTCCTAAAATCCAATCTAAACCTCCCCTGGTCCAGCTTGAGGCTGTTTTCTTTTGTCCTGTCACTTGTTAACTTGGGAGAAAAGACTGACCCCTACCTCACTATAACCTCCTTTTAGGCAGTTGTAGGGATCCTTCTCTCCTCCAGACTAAACAACCCCTAGTTCCCTCAGCTGTTCCTCATCAGACTTGTGCTCTAGACATGGATTACTCCATGGGCAAGATTAGAAAGACAACGTGACTGTAATTAACCAGTAGCTATCTTTTTTCTTGACAGAGACAGCAAAACAGTTTATTGGAAAATCCCCAAAGCTCTTTTAAGATACAGATACCAAGATAAAGTATGTATGTCTCATTACTAATGTAAGATCATATTTCTCTGGTACCCGATCTACATTCAGCTGGGACAACTCTTTGAAACAACCTCTGAACATAAATTAGGTGAGACCTTTTCCCTGATAGACTGACCATTTCTTTGTGGTCTTGAAGATAAAATGTGGTTGTGTATTAGCTGTATCATATGCTTAAAGTTTTAAAGAAGAACTTTGTTCATGATTCTGTCAAATATTCTCCTTCTCCTCTAATGCAATCCAGATAGTTTCAGGGTCAGTGCTAGAGCCTCAATTTACATGACATGACTAATGTGCTGCTTCAAATCACATTCTTCAGGGTCAGTTTCTAACTTTCCCTGCACAACCCTTTTGTGAAAGTCTTCTCTTACACATACATGTATAGCTCCAGAGTGGACCACAGCTGAGTACAGTGAAAATATGGTAAATTCTTTTGCTACACTTGAAACAAAGAGCGTGATTTATTAGGAGGAGTGCAAATCACTTAACAATCTGACTGACAAAGGGCAAGAGATCTCACAGATATCTCTACATTGCTGGCCGGAAGACAGCAAAGGTCTTTTCCTATTACACATACATGTATAGCTCCAGAGTGGACCACAGCTGAGTACAGTGAAAATATGGTAAATTCTTTTGCTACACTTGAAACAAAGAGCGTGATTTATTAGGAGGAGTGCAAATCACTTAACAATCTGACTGACAAAGGGCAAGAGATCTCACAGATATCTCTACATTGCTGGCCGGAAGACAGCAAAGGTCTTTTCCTAAAGCGGC